CAACCCCCTGATGGGCCCTGCTCTGTGCGTGACAGGGGGCAGCGCCCCAACCCCCTGATGGGCCCTGCTCTGTGCGTGACAGGGGGCAGCGCCCCAACCCCCTGATGGGCCCTGCTCTGTGCGTGACAGGGGGCAGCGCCCCAACCCCCTGATGGGCCCTGCTCTGTGCGTGACAGGGGGCAGCGCCCCAACCCCCTGATGGGCCCTGCTCTGTGCGTGACAGGGGGCAGCGCCCCAACCCCCTGATGGGCCCTGCTCTGTGCGTGACAGGGGGCAGCGCCCCAACCCCCTGATGGGCCCTGCTCTGTGCGTGACAGGGGGCAGCGCCCCAACCCCCTGATGGGCCCTGCTCTGTGCGTGACAGGGGGCAGCGCCCCAACCCCCTGATGGGCCCTGCTCTGTGCGTGACAGGGGGCAGCGCCCCAACCCCCTGATGGGCCCTGCTCTGTGCGTGACAGGGGGCAGCGCCCCAACCCCCTGATGGGCCCTGCTCTGTGCGTGACAGGGGGCAGCGCCCCAACCCCCTGATGGGCCCTGCTCTGTGCGTGACAGGGGGCAGCGCCCCAACCCCCTGATGGGCCCTGCTCTGTGCGTGACAGGGGGCAGCGCCCCAACCCCCTGATGGGCCCTGCTCTGTGCGTGACAGGGGGCAGCGCCCCAACCCCCTGATGGGCCCTGCTCTGTGCGTGACAGGGGGCAGCGCCCCAACCCCCTGATGGGCCCTGCTCTGTGCGTGACAGGGGGCAGCGCCCCAACCCCCTGATGGGCCCTGCTCTGTGCGTGACAGGGGGCAGCGCCCCAACCCCCTGATGGGCCCTGCTCTGTGCGTGACAGGGGGCAGCGCCCCAACCCCCTGATGGGCCCTGCTCTGTGCGTGACAGGGGGCAGCGCCCCAACCCCCTGATGGGCCCTGCTCTGTGCGTGACAGGGGGCAGCGCCCCAACCCCCTGATGGGCCCTGCTCTGTGCGTGACAGGGGGCAGCGCCCCAACCCCCTGATGGGCCCTGCTCTGTGCGTGACAGGGGGCAGCGCCCCAACCCCCTGATGGGCCCTGCTCTGTGCGTGACAGGGGGCAGCGCCCCAACCCCCTGATGGGCCCTGCTCTGTGCGTAGGGGGGGGCAGCGCCCCAACCCCCTGATGGGCCCTGCTCTGTGCGTGACAGGGGGCAGCGCCCCAACCCCCTGATCGGCCCTGTGTGCATGACTCCTGAGGGGTCCCAGACTGCGAGAGGGTTCAGGCCGGGCTGGGGGACCCTCCCCCCAGTGCACAAATTTTTGTGCACCGGGCCTCTAGTTTTATATATAATTGTCAAAAATCACAGAGACAGCTCTTCCAATTCCAAGTCCATATCTTTTGTACCCAGCCTCAAAGCATGAAGGACTCAATCTGAAAATTACATACAAAATAAGAATTCTTGGCAGTATAAGATGGCATAATCGATCACAGCTGGTAAAATACATACTCTATGCAAATGAAAGGTATACTACATAACTTAATTACAGCTTAACTGCTGAATGTGATAGAATTTAGTTTTAATGAATACCGTACTGAGCAATTAGGCAGATAGGAAATAGCTTTAGATTGCAGTGTTTGTTTAATTCTAATATAAATTTGTTGAATATCTGAGGAATAAAAAGGTGACTAAGATATCTTCCCTGACCACTTAACAATCTAGGTTTCTGAGCCTCATATTTTAGCACACATTACGATGATTTAGGGGACCCCATTCCCAAAGATGCTGATTCAACATATATGGGGTGGAATCAGAGTCCTTCAGATGTAATAAGCCCCTTAATGATTGCTATGGGCGTCTCAGCTGTGTACAATGAGAAACATTGCTCTAGTCTACGAGGTGATGCATCAAGAGTGCTGATACCCGCAACTTGTCAGCAAAGTGGCAAGACTCAGCCTTGCTATTTATTCCCAATCTAGGTATGACTTTTTTTTTTTAAGCCTTACATACTTAAAAATAATGCTGGATTCTGGTGGGAATATACAATGGCATGGCACTGTGGAAAACAGTTTGGCTGTTCCTAAAAATGTTAACACCTAGGTATGTACCCACAAGTGCTGAAAGTAGGGGCTTGGAACAAATGCTTGTACACCAGTGTTTATAGCAGCCTTATTCACAATAGCCAAAAAGTGGAAACAACTCACATGTTTAACGGACGAATTGAAAAATAAATGTGATGCATACATACAATG